ATTATTTTTTTAAATTAATAAAAAAGAAAATTGTAAAAAATCTATAGAAAATAAAATAACAAAAACAAAAACTACTGACACCATCCACTGCCCCCCCCCCCCCCTTCCCCAAAGCATTGTTCAAAAAATAATAAAAAAGCAAATTGGAAACAATTAATTAAAAAAAATCGGTAAAATAAATAAACAAACTACTGACCCCATCCACTACTCTACTGATATCATCTACTGCCCCACTGACACTGTCCACTGCTTCCCCCCACCAAGTCATTATGAAAAAAAATACAAAAATAAATTGTAGAATATAATTAAAAAGGAAAATTGTAAAATATAATAGGAAATAAAGTAATAAAATCAAAAAACTACTGACACCATCAATTATAATCAAAAAATGCAGCGCTAAAATATTAAATATTTAAGTGAAATAATAGTGGTAGACACGCAAAGATATGCGCTATTAAGTGGTATAATAGTGATGTCTTGATGAAGACAATAGATATTCATAAAGTGACAACAGCATTCTATCAACATATTTTATTGTATGTAATGATTTATAATAAAATAAAAGTCCATAAATTATTCAAAGGTGCGTCAATTTTCCAAATGAGGAAGATATCAAACATTCGCTTTAAACCTCCTTCCGTGATGAGAAAAAAGGGGTGTGCTTGCACTCACCAGATGTAAAATGATTTTACGCATGCAGTTTAAGGGACACTAGTGGTCATCTGGAACCTGATATGGATGTGGCACTCCGATGGCACTTAGTATACCCAGGGGAAGTACTCCAGACCTCTCAGTAGACCCTCTTCGATGGTAGGAACTGCTCACAGGTTTTACTTACACCCGGCAACAGGTGAGTTCAGCAGCAATGGAAAATCCACCTTAAGTAGCTCAAAATAAGCCACCAGGACAAAAAGCTCAGCAAAGCACAGCGACAACGTGTATGCCGGCCCAGGCAGACCTATTTATATATAGACTGACCACAGAGCAGGGCCGTGTTGTCTGCAGAGAGCACGCCTGACACCATCCACTGCCCTATTGACACCGTCCACTGCCCCCCCCCCCCGAAGCATTGTGAAAAAAACTAAAATATTATAAAAAATTAAATTTTAAAAAATAATAGAAAATAAAATATTACAAATAAAAAACTACTGACCTCATCCACTGCTCTACTGACACTGTCCACTGCTCCCCCCAAAATCATTGAGAAAAAAAATAATACAAAATGAAATTGTAAAACATAACTAAAAAATAAAATAAAAAATAAAGTAAAAAAGAGAGAAGAAAATACACCATCCACTGCCCTCTTCCCCAAAGCTCTGCAAAAAAAATAATCAAAAAATAAATTGGAAAAAAAGTATTACAAAAAAAAGTGTAAAAATAAATACATTAATAAATACATAAAACTACTGAACCAATCCACTGCTCCACTGACACCATCTACTGCCTCACTGACACTGTCCACTGCCCACTGACCCCCCAAAATCATTGTAAAATAAATAAACAAATAAATTGTAGAATGTAATTAAAAAATACATTTGTAAAAAAAGTAGAAAATAAAATAAGAAAAACAAAAATCTACTGACACTGTCCATTGCCCTACTGACACCATCCACTGCCCCCCCCCCCCATAGTGAAAAAAAAAAGAACTAAAGGGGGAGGGGTTAACATGTGGGCGATCAAAGGGTTAACTGTGTGCTGTTTTACTATGAGGCTGTGTGCTGTGTTTCACTGTAAGCACACTGCTTTGTATGGCTCTGCTATTCAGAGCCATACAAAAGCAGTGTGCAGGAGCTGACAGGGGGGAGATATGTGTTGGTTATACATTAAATAAATACATTTTATTATTATTATTATTATTTGTAATAAATTCGGGTTTTAAATTTTATTTATAATTTTTTATTATTCTTCTTCTTATTATTATTATTATTAATAACTTATTTCATATATTTTTAGGGTTAGATGGTAATTATTATTTATTTATTATTACATATTATTCATTATTTTTTAATTTTTTGTATGATCATTTTTATTTATTTGTGTAATTATTTTACATTTATTTACTCACTGGATACCTCTTCCTCTCATGCTGATACAGACCACAGCAATCCAAGTACTTCATGGACTCCTCCTCTCAAGGGGAATAGAAGCCCAACATGGTGTTTTATGTTTTAAAACAAATTGCACTTTATAAAAAATTCCTATTCATAAATTACGCAAAATCCAAAATTCTTCTGATTACCACACCTCCAAACCTTGCTTCTGCTCTGAAGGGTGCTTTTTCTTCTTGGACAGCCAATTAACCACTTCCGCGCCGCCCTATAGCAGAAATTCTGCTACAGGACGGCACCAGTGCGCAAAATCACGCATATATGCCATTCGTGGCCTCGGCTGGCAATCACTGGGTCCCGTCCAGTGATCTCTCGCCAGCACCCGGTGATTGACAAGTATCTCCGACGGGGGAGAGAACTGTGTATAACTAACAGTTTAGTTGGCTGCTGACTTTTATTTTTTTTCATTTTCACTGGAACTCCGCTTAAGGCTAGGTTCACACCTATGCAGTTTGCTTTTGATTAGTTTCTGCAGTGCGTTTTGTGTCTTTGCATATGCATGTTTGCCACTGTTTTTTTTTTTTTTTTGCTGGGCAGATTAAAACGCATCAAAAACCCATCAAAAACGCACAACATGCTTTTCTGCAGCATCTCCATTGAAGTCTATAGAACCAAAAATGCTACTTTTTGTGTTTAAAAAAAAGTCCCTGGCCCCTTCCAAAAACACGCACGCAGCGTGTGAAAATGCAGAGATGTTAACCTGTCCCATAGGACAAAACGCAACAGTAAAGGCTTAGGTGTGACCCTAGACTTAAGGTAGGCTTGGATAAAGCATTACCTCTCAGCCCATATTCAAAATGATTCTTAAGGTTTAGGGGTATCTGTGAAATTCTGAATTGTGAAATAGCAATTCAGGAGGTTTATTTTTGTGCGGGTACAAGAAGAGTTTATTTAGCAAAGATTTCCAGTTTTGCTCGACATTATTCAGAATTCATCATGCTGTAATGTCTTCTAGTTTTCATACACAGAATTTTTGTCACCTACAATATCCTTCAACCCATCAGCAGCACAGGTGTATTTACCACAAGGCAAACAAGGCATTTTTCAGGGGGGCAGCAGTGCCCCTCAGAAGAAGGGACACATGCGGCATGGGGGCCTGGTGGGTTCTGAGAGAGGCTGCGGGTTTCATGACGGTGTATGCGCAGCCCGACTCTCGTTCCTGGGGATGTCCGGAGCTGTGAAGGTAACTTTCTCTCTCTCCATGGGCAGTGGTGGCTGGTGTATGGGGGGCAGTGGTAGTGAATGGCTCTCTCGGGTGGGGGCAGTGGTGTCCTTAGGCATGTTCGGGGGGTGCGCGCAGCACCAGGTGACACCTACTGCACAGGGTTACACCGGACCTGCTCCACGAAAAGGTAAGTTGCAAAGCAAGCCGATGATCCCTGCAGGATGGATCAGATCTGCAGATTGAGCCTAATGGACTGGAGTCCGATCCATTATCCTCCCCAATCCGCAGATCTGATCCATCCTGCAGTGATCATCGGCATGCAACCTATACAGGGTTATAATAATATGAATAAATACCCACCTTATAAATCCCCACGCTACGACTAGTATCAAATAAATCCTAGGCAATATTCATCCAAAAACACAAATACAAAAAATTGTAAATAATATACTATATAAAAAAAGTCTCTCAAAATTTTGATGAAATTAATACCCAGTGTCACTAAAGTCCAAAATGATAAAGGTGTTGAGCCCTTCCTCTGGCTCCCAGGAAGTTGGAGAATACCTCAATTCCAATATCTAAAATGGCCACCGTACCACTTCCGGTTCATGCTGTACGTGCGACGTCACTTCCTTTGACGCGTTTCGTCACCACTGGAGTTGTTTGTACAGAGTGAAGCACATCAATGATTTTGCAGAGTGTTGGATTACCCTTCACAATTTTTGCACTTTTTGTTTTTTTTTTTGCACAAGAAAGAGTGATATTTGATTTGATGCATATTAGGTATTGAGTTAATACACTATTGTGAGTTTTTTTTTTTTGCTTTGAGGTATTCTCCAACTTCCTGGGAGCCAGAGGAAGGGCTCAACACCTTTTAGAATTATCAAGTTGGAGTCTGGACATTTATTTATGTGTTTATAATTTTGGACTTTAGTGACACTGGGTATTAATTTCATCAAATTTTTGAGAGACTTTATTTATATAGTATATTATTTACAATTTTTTGTATTTTGTGTTTTTGGATGAACATTGCCTAGAATTTATTTGATACTAGTCATAGGGTGGAGATTTATAAGGTGGGGATTTATTCATATTATTATATGATTACTGGCAATTTCAAGGGTGAAAGTTTTTATGAATATTGGGTTAGTTTATTAGAGTATTAGATACCGCATTTCACATTTATATAAAGTTTTAAAGCAAGTCGATGATCCCCGCAGGATAAATTGGATCTGTGGATTGAGCATAATGGATCTGAGTCCGATCCATTATGCTCAATCTGCAGATCCGATCCATTCTGCGGGGATTGTTGGAGGGGGTGTTACCAAGTGTTACTGCACCGGGTGACACCAACCCTGGGGGGGAGGTGCTGATTTTTGTGTTGCCTAGGGCAGCACAAAACCTAAATACACCACTGATCAGCAGCCACAACAAGTGCTACAGTACTAGAACAGTCCGTGTCACTGAATACCACTTTCTTGGACACATTTCTGTCCTTATTATGATAAATCTTCTATGTACAGTAGTTTAAAATCAAACTGTACAAAAGTTTGCCATTTTAAAGCAATGCCCCACCCCTAATTAGGATACATTCTCTGCCTACAATAACTTACAGGTTGTGCAATGACTTCCAATGTCCCTGGAAATTTTTTTTAAATCATAGCAAATACGCTCATAGTACGTTTTGTTCGGCTGAGAATACCTTTGCTATACTGTTCATTACTTACCAGGGAGTTGAACCTGAGATGACAGACATTGCAGGATATAAAAGGCTTCCTTCTTGGAGGAGAGGGCCCACCAAAAGTATGATTAATAACTGCTTTCTGCACCGGATCCATCTACAAAAAGAGAGGAATTTATAATAGTAAGTCAGGACTCTACAGGAGCTACAGTTCATAATTCTGCATCTACTATACACTCTAGTATTATCTAGCACAATTTATAATGAATTGAGTTCATTTTATCATTTTTAATTACACTCTAGCTTACAATGAAAAAATTCTTATGAAAATCAATTAAATGCAGTGTCCTAAGTGTCCTAAATAAAACATTGTTTCAGATACTTCTCTTCTGGCAAGAGTTTAATTATCAAATGAAAACTGTTATATGTACTGTAGAGCAATGGAGCGAATGTCATAAACCTGAGGTGGAGGTGTTTGCACCTTAAAAGTTCAGACAATTTGCATAGATGGATCAGATCTCAGCTGGTTCAGCAGGGACCAGCTGAGATTAGATCCATCTATGGGCAGACTGGCTGTACTGAAGTCAATTCATTGATTAACATCAGTGCATCCAGCCTATTGGAATTTTTTTGTGATTGCTGCTGGTGGCTATAGTCTCCAGCAGTGATCATTGTGTTCTGCTGGCATGGAAGGCTCCCCACCGGTATGGAAGGCTCCCCACCGGCAGAACACAATAGCACTGCGAGAGGGATTCCCCCATCAACACAGTCAGTGCTGATGGGGGAATCCCTACCATGGAGCTACTGTGTTTTCCAAGCGGGCAGCCTTCCCCTACCTGTGTCACCATTCACAGCCTCGGCTGTCAATCACTGGGTCCCAGCCGGTGATTCCCCACCTGCACCCGGCGATCACCAAGTATCACTGACGGGGGAGAGACCTGTATGTAAACAATACAGTCCTCTCCCCTGTCAGCTCCTGCACACTGCTTTGTATGGCTCTGCATAGCAGAGCCATACAAAGCAGTGTGCTTACACAGTAAAGCACAGTAAAGCACACACAGTAAAGCACAGTAAAGCGCACACAGTAAAGCACACACAACACACAGTAAAGCACACACAGCACACAGTTAACCCTTTGACTGCCCCAGATGTTAACCCCTTCCTACCCAGTGCCATTAGTACAGTGTCAGTGCTTTTTATTAGCACTGATCGCTGTATTGGTGTCACTGGGGATGTCAGTGACAGTCAGTTCCCCCCAGTGTCAGAATGCTCGTCGCAGTCCCACTAAAAGTCACTGATTGCCGCCATTACTAGTAATAAAAAGACATGTCGCTATAACTTTCACGTAGAGAATGCTATTTACACGTATTGGGATTTTTTTTTTACAAAGACATGTCGCAGAATACATTTTGGCCTAAATTTATAACGAAATTTGATTTTTTGCATTTTTTTACTGGACAAAAATATTGTTTTTTTTTCTCAAAACTGTCAGTCTTTTTTTGTTTATAACGCAAAAAATAAAAAGTGCACAGGTGATCAAATAACACTGTAAGAAAGCTCCATTTGTGGGAAAAAAAGGATGTAAATTTCACTGGGGTGCAGCGTTGCATGACTGCGCAATTGTCAGTCAAAGTAAAGCAGCGCCGTAACACAAAAAATGGCCTGGTCAGGAAGGGGGGTAAATCCTCTGGAGGGCAAGTGGTTAACAGTGATGATGACAACCTGCAACCAGAATTTCCAGAGCTCAAAAGTCCTGAAACACACGTTAACCCCTGTACTAAACAAACCAGATGAAAAGCTGCTGTTTGAGCAGGCTGCTTCAAAGCTGCCCTATAGCTCTAAAACATGCAATAAACCTACATTCATCCAAACTGGCCCTAGGGATGTGCTTTACCTAAACCAGCCAAGGCAAACTTTTAATTGCACGGACTGCAATTAGCTTCCATTGAACAAAGCAGGTCCACAGCTGATGTTTGACCAACCTAGTTCAAAGCTGTCATTTAACTTTGATACACTTAATACACCAAGAGTTACCCAGACTGCATCTGATAGGCTTTACCCAAACCAGCCAAAACCAACCTTTACATTCATAATACATAATAGACATGACAAAACCCATCCTGAATTTCAGCCAGGATCAAATTCCCACGATGTTGATAGAACCTAAAGTGGTTGTAAACCCTTACAATGAAGTGACAAATCCTCCTACATACGATGTACCTGTTTATCTGCAGTATATCTCTTCTCTACATCTATTCAAGGTACAGAATTTAAAAACTTGTCTAAGAGTTCAGACAAAAGGGGACAGAGAACTGAAAGTACACTCTGCAGAGATCAGTGAGGTGAGTTCTAAGAGCTGATTGGAGGAAAGGCACACACCCCTCCACACTGCTCACAGGAACAGAGCTGAGGCTGTCAATCTGCTGGAGGTCCCTCCACTGTCACCATTTTTCTCATGGTGTCAGGAAATCATTTCAGAAGTGATTCATGCTGACAGCAGAGAAACAAAGCAGCAGACAGAAATGACACTTAGTGCTCTTAATTGAGACAAGTACACACTATAGAGCGGTATGCTTTGTTCATATTTCATGTCTGAGGTTTAGAACCACTTTAAAGAGTATCAAACACAGACTGAGGAGCAGAAGCCAAGGGAAATGGAAAGAGCACAAGGACACCAGCACAAAGGGAGCTACCAATCTGCTTTTAAATACTGATAGAGATATTAAAGCTGAGTTAACAAAACTGTGCCTAGCTGATGAATAACGTAATAACCAATGACCCTTAAAGTGTATGTCAGATAAACATTTTTTTAAAAAATAATACGCAGTACATCTCTGCAATCCATGGACATTTCCCTGTGTTTTATCCCTTTAAAGACCCTGGCGATTTGCCAGAAATGCACTTTGCTCCTAATTTCTTGTTGTAAGCTGACAACATGAAAGGACAACTCCAGCTTGCATGAAACTCCTGTATTTACCATTGATATCTTTGTATAATAACCTCCCAATTTTCACAAGGACCAGAAGCTGTAATTACATCTGTACCACTACTGTCTTTTTAAGAACCAGGATATCTTAATGGATGCACATCAGTCTGCTAACTACCCTGAACAAGAGAAGGGACCAATGTTCTGCTATTTTTCTAGCAGGCTAAGAAAGCAAGGGTAGGTGGGTAAATGATCTGTTTACTGTATGAAGGGTTACTAAGAAGAAAAATTTACATGTTTAAACTGCTTTGACACCAAAATATTGGGACACACATGTAATGGGGGAATGCTACGTGATGCCATGTATCGAGGCAGTGCCATCTGATGACATGGTCATGTGATGTTCACATAATAATGGATACAATGGTGTTTTTTTTTTACTGTGCAATCAGTTCCCCAAAGGAAAAGGCAAAAAATGTCAAGATGTATACAACACAGATGCATCATTTCCATTTGATGCAGAATTTCGGGAACAATATCAAGTTTTGAATGCATAAACTTAAAGTAGAACCATAGGCAAAAATCTTATAACCCCTGTCAGGTTTTATTTTTATTTTTTACCATCTGTGTTCCATTGGGGAGACTTCCCTTCACTTCCTGTTCCATAGCTAAAACAGGAAGTGAGAGGAAATCCCTGCAAATTAAGGGAATCCCCTGGGGACCCTCAGATCACCAGAACTAGTGTCTCCATTGGAAAATTTCCTCTCTATTACTTTTCTAGGGACAACCCCAAATTTGGGATTTTCTTTTACTTTTACCTATAAATATATTTATACTGTATATTGATCTCTAAAACATCAAACTCGGGGGTGTCAAACTGGCAGCTCTCCAGCTGTTGCCAAACTACAAGTCCCATGAGGCATTGCAAGATTGACAGTTACAAGCATGACTCCCAAAGGCAGAGGCATGATGGGACTTGTAGTTTGGCAACAGCTGGAGGGCCACCAGTTTGACACCCCTGATCTAACTGATGTCATCTACACAAGCCCTTATAGAAATTTGTCACTTTGCAGATGAAGCACTAAACCTAACTGACGAGCAACTGAACTAAAAAAACTGGAGCGCACAATAACAGCTAAATGGAGCGCCCAACTACAGCTAAAAGGAGCGCTCAACAACAGCTAAATGGAGCACCCAACAACAGCTTAATGGAGTGCCCAACAACAGCTAAATAGAGCGTCCAACTACAGCTAAATGGAGCGCCTAACAACAGTTAAATGGAGCGCCCAACTACAGCTAAATGGAGTGCCCAGCAACAGCTAAATGGAGCGCCCAACAACACCTAAATGGAGCGCCCAACAACAGCAAAATGGAGCACCCAACTACAGCTAAATGGAGCGCCCAACAACAGCTAAATGGAGTGCCCATACATTGGAATTTAAACTCAACACTAACTATTCCTTTAAATGTTCCCTTCCCCCTCCTCCTACGTATCCTGCCTACCATGTATAAAAGAGTTCTACTGACCTTTTTTTAGTCTAGTCTGGGCACATGATCCTGCAGTTATGTGTCATACAGAGCTCAACAACAGCTAAATAGAGCGCCCAAAAACAGCTAAATGGAGCACCCGAAAACAGCTAAATGGAGCACCCGAAAACAGCTAAATGGAGCGCTCAACAACAGCTAAATGGAGCGCCCAACAACAGATAAATGGAGCGCCAAACAACAGCTAAATGGAGCACCCAACAACAGATAAATGGAGCGCCCCAACACTAAATACAGCACCCAAAACAGATAAAGAGCGCCCAACTACAGCTAAAAGTGCCCAGCAACAGCTAAATGGAGCACCCAACAACAGCTAAATGGAGCGCCCAACAACAGCTAAATGGAGAGCCCAACAACAGCTAAAAGCCCAAACAGCTAAATGGAGCCCAACAACAGCTAAATGGAGCGCCCAACAACAGCTAAGCCCTGATGTCACCCATAGGCTCTCATGGCACAACATTTGTTGGTGCTCCCTCCTCTCCACTGCAGTAGCCACTCACTGACACAATGGCAGTTGGAGCTGCAGGATCAGGTGAACCTGACCGGAATAGGCTAAAAAAGAGTAAGCACACAAATATTCTTTTACACAAGGTAAGAAGGACAGGTAGGAGGAGGGGGGAGGGGGAATTTGAGGAATAGTTAGTGTTGGGTTTGGATTCCACTTTAACTATTTTCAGAGTCAAAGGCCAAGACAAATCTAGTAAACCATTGAAAAGCTACCATTAGCTGTCAAACCAAAGCAAACTGCTATGGAAAGCAACAAATGAGGAGTAGCTGAGCCCAGATCAAACATCTCTAAGGCAGGCCAGAGATTTTTTTTCCCTGCATCTACAGGTAGCAGGAAAGAAAATTGCTCAATTCCCAAATTTACACAGCCAGTGTTGATGGAGGAATCCTTCCCTGCCCAAAAGCACCCCCCATGTTGAGGGCATGTGGCCTGGTATGGTTTAGGAGGGGGGGGGCGCTCGCTCGGCCCCCCCTCCTTTCCTGACCTGACGAGCTGCATGCTCGGCTAAGGGTCTGGTATGGATTGGGGGGGGGGATCCCCACGTAATTTTTTTTTTAAAAATTTTGGCATGGGAGTACCCCTCAAAATCCATAGCAGACCCAAAGGGCTTGGTATGAATGGGAGGGGGGACCCCACGCTGTTTATTTATTTATTTTTTAATTGCCGGCAATTCTTTTACATTTAACTGTCAGTGGGGAACCCTGCTGACAGCTGAAAAACATTAACACATGGTTGTCACTACTAAAATACCGAATGACTTGATAAAATAACTATTCAGTATTTTAGTAGCGTTTCCTGTGTTCTGACCTCCGGAACGGATTAATTGGTTTTCAATGCATTTCTATGGGAAACGGCGTTTCTGTTTACGTATTTTTCTACAACAGAGGCACATTAATGGTATATTGGTACATGGGGGAGCTGGAATTTAGGAAAAAAAGGTGAAACTTAGCCTTTAACTCCGCTTCCCACAACCCTCAAGGTTCTTGAGCACTCCCAGGGAGGATTCATTCTTCATCTTACATCCCTTAGCAACCTGATCAAGCAGAGGTAGCGAGCCAACTAATCTGCAGCCAGGTGAGAGGCCCTTTACTGTAGTAGATCTCTTTTCAAAGGTGTTTGACAGGCAGTGTAAGGAGGTAATAGGTGGCCTATTTGCCATTTGCTTTAACCCTCAAAATTCCAACCTCCTGCACTGCAATAGGGTGTATAGCATGTGGTTGCGACAAAGACTCATTCACTTGAATGGGTCATGTTCAGGGGCAGTAATGATTGCCAAATGTGATATACTGTTTAATTTTTGGTGTATCTGC